AACCTCGTGCTTACTTTGTTTAACGTCATATTTGATATCATCAATTGGCTTTACATCAGGCAGAATAAAAGTAATATTAAAGATATTTAGAAAAATAAAAATAATATAATTATACCATAATGTCAAGAGAATATATTTAAGTGAAGTGGATAGTATTCGGATTTTAAATAAATTTGGTGACATCTTAGTGCCCAACACTGAACGAATATATTATGATACGATGTTAGACTTTTTATCTGTAATTCAAAACAAAATATTGTAGCATCCAAATCATCAATTGAAAGTGACAGTAACTTAAATTTTAGAAAGTTAGAAAATTTTCTGAAAGATTATCCTGATATATATATATACAAATGAAATGATAAATAGTGTAGAAGAAGTTATTGATATTGATTTTAGAGATATTAGTGTAGCAACCGCAATAAAACTTAATTAAAAAGTAGTTTAAACAAATATGCTAATTAATATTCAACGGAACATCGTTTTTTCATGATATGATGACGGCAAATATCAATGAAAAAATGGAACAGGTCTTCCATTGTTTCAAATCATAAGCATTGAGACTAATTAGTTTGAATTAGTTTGAACCTCGCTTGTGTTCCCAGTGCAAAGAAAACTCCATTGTTGTGCCCTCCGAATATTCTACCGTGCGTGAAATAATAAGTTCAAATAATTATTTCAAAAATTATTTCATCTTATTACTTAATATGGATAGAAGTTATTCAGATTATATTGATATAATAGATGAAGTAGAGAATATAGAACAAGTTGTATAACTGATAATAGATGCAAGAAAGTATGCTATTTTGTTTTAGAAATAATTAAGTTTGTGATACATTATATCAAAGATAAAAAGGTAAATGTTATTATAAATGGTAATAAGAAAAAGAATAAGACAGAACCAGTTGTTTCTTCAACTGATGAAGAAAAAGAAGAAATTGTTAAAGAAACATCAGTTATTGAGTTTGATTGTCCGATGTGTAAAAGGATGTAAGAAATGAAGAATGAATGAGAAAAACAAAAGAAAGGAAATTGTAAATGTTTGTGTGTTCCGACAAGTTTCACAATCAGTAAAATGATAAGAAATGAATATTGATAAAACTAAAGACGGTATAAACTTAGAAACAGATGTTCATAATATTGCTATACGCTTTGGGAGGGGAGTTACTCCATCCGATAATAGTGATCACGAAACTCAGGAAACTATACGTGAAATGATGAAAAATTAGTATTTAAAGAGTAGGTTTAACATAATTGCAACATGTAGTATTAAAAGTTTAGTTTTATAGTTTGGTATATATTTACATGGATGCAGGATTAGAAAAGATTGTTAAGAAACTGAACAAGGGAAAAGAACAGAATAAGAATAAGAAAGGAAATCTTACAAGAAATGGAAAAGAAGAAACCATTAACAAACAGTTATCAAAGTAAAGAAGTAGATAGAACCAGTCCAGTGGTGAATATAAAAATCAAAGACATATCCTTTTAAACAAACTTAATAACAAAGAAATTAAAGAACCGAAGTCTTCCACTATGACATTTTATCAGATTGACTATGATGAAGAAACAGGGATTTATTCATAGATGATATTATCTACATATCTTTAATTCTGAACTTATTAGAGATGTTCAGCGGGACAGGCAGTGTTGGACTTGTTGCAAAAGCAAGGGGTTTCAATGCTATTTCATTAGATTTGAAAAATGCTGATATAAATACTGACATATTGAAATGGGATTATAAACAATTTAACAGAAACCACTTCTCATTTATTTGGGCTTCTCCACCTTGCGCTGAATACAGAAAAGCAAAAACTACGGGAATTAGGAATATCGAATATGAAATAGTATTGTCTTAAAAACTATTGAGATTATCAAATATGTTAATCCTAAATTTTTGGTAATCGAAAATCCCCAAACCGGATTATTGAAAAATCAGGAATTTATGGATGAGTCTGAATTTAGAGATGTTGATTATTGTAAATGAATGCCTTACAGAAAGAGAACTAGGCTTTGGAATAACATTACAACTTGGAAACCTAGAGATTTATGTAAAAAGGATTGTGGCAACATCAGGAATAATAAACATATTGAAACTGCGCAGAGACTGCCAAATGGAAACAAGCAAGAAAGGGGAGACAATCCAATAATACATAAGCAGAAAGATTTATATAAAACACCTAGCGAATTAATTTGTGAAATCTTGGTGAGTCTGACGGATTAAGGATTTTGAGTTTGGGGTTGGGCTTGAAACTTGAAACTTCTAGGTTCATCCAACGACAAAACAGCATGTTTCTTGAAATTAGGTGGGGCTCCCCCTTTTTTGGGGCGACTGTTCCCCCTTTTTTGGGGCGACTGTTCCCCCTTTTTGGTGCGACTGTTTATTCATATTATTTAATTATAATATAAATTAACGTTGTAAAACTTTATAACCTTTCATTATACTATACTTATACTCTATAAAAATACTTTATTTTGAAAATTATTATATTTTTCTTGTTTTGCTTGTCTCTTTCAAAGTGCGTTGTTTGAACTTGGCATGCTCTTTGATTTTTTCGTGCTTTGACTGTTGTGTATTTATTTTGTTTGATACTCTTCTGATATGTTGTTGTTGCTATACTGCTTTGAAATTTGTTAGTGTGTGTTTTTGAGTTGGTGTTCTTTGATGGTTTTTAGTTTTGCTGTTTTGTTGGTATGATTTTGTTGGGGGTTGTTCTGGTTTTTGAGTTGCTTGGTGGTTCTTATCTTGTTTTCTGTGAATTTTGCAGATTTGTGTTTATGCTGTTTGATTATTTGGGTTTGATGTTAGAAGTGCCGTTTTGAATATTTCCCCCCCCCCCCCCCACGGACCGCGCGGCAATTTGATGACGTTCCACTAAACGTAGTCTTCGGGGAGCCGGTGTCGCAAAACAGGGGTCCCAGGCTCGATTCCCCCTTCCGGCTCTTTGCTGGTTTGGGGTTCCTGCCTCCTTTTACCAAAAATCAAAAAAAACTGCATTTTTAAACGTCCTAATTGCGAAAACGCTGGATTTTTGTTTTTTGAGGGACATATTGGGGAGCAAAGGGGAAATGCAAGGAAGTGCAAGGAAATGAGGGGAGGAAATAGGAAGTCGACATGACAGGAAATCAGCGGGAAATGAAAGGGAAACAAAGGGGAACTGCAAGGGACATGCAAGGGACAGAAATGAAAACAAGGGGAGTGCAGGGGGAATGAGAGGGAAACGAAGCACAAGGACACCAATCGGCACGACGGGAGATGTAGGGAAATGACTCGCAACGAAAGAACGGGACATACATGGAAAATGAAGCGGACATACCGAGAAAATGTCAGGGACCTGAAGGGGGAGTTGAAATGCATGGAAGGGACATGACCAGGACATCATGGGAAACGTGAAAAGGACATGAAGGGGAAGATGACAGTTCAGGGTCATGAAGGGGCAGTGCCCGGACATCGAGGCAACTCAGGGAAAAAGTGACGCTGCAATGCACAGAGAGAGGGACAGGGAGAGAGCGGGAGAGAGAGCGGGAGAGAGAGAGGGAGAGAGAGAGAGAGAGAGAGCGAGACACAGAGAGTGAGAAACAGAGAGAGAGAGAGAGAGAGAGACAGAGACAGGGCCAGAGACAGAGCCAGAATCAGAGAAACAGAGAAAGAGCCAGACAGAGAGAGAGAGACAGAGAGAGAGAGACAGAGAGAGAGAGACAGAGAGAGAGAGAGAGAGAAAGAGAGACACACAAAGACAGAGAGAGAGAGAGACAGAGACAGAGAAAGAGCGAGAAAGTGAGAGAGTAGAGAGGTTCGAGTTGGGGTACCCTTTTTCTGTAGAGGGGCGTGGACAGGACGGAGACAGGGAGACAGAAAGAAACAGAGCAACAGAGAGAGAGAGAGAGAGACAGAGAGAGAGAGAGAGAGAGAGCGAGAGACAGAGAGAGAGAGAGAGAGAGAGAGAGAGGGACAGAGAGAGGGAGATTGAGGAGAGACAGGCTTGGGGGGACGGGGAGGATGGGGAGCAGAGGGAGGGAGAGAGGACGACAGAACACACGAGGGAGACAAGGGAGAGAGGAAGAAGGAGAAAAGGGAGAGGACAATGTCGGCGGACTGAGCCGGAGGCTCTAAAGTATTTATATATGTATATATATATATATATATGTGGTCCCGTGTTCCAAACTCGCACCCCGACACCCCGGCCCCCCCACCCCCAGGACAAGCCAACCCGCAACCAACCATAAACCAACCCTAAACTAACCCTAAACCAACCCTAAACCGTACACCTCTAAACCTAAACCAACCCTAAATCAACATAAACCAACCCTAAACCAACCCTAAACTAACCCTAAACCAACCCTAAACCGTACACCTCTAAACCTAAACCAACCCTAAATCAACCCTAAATCAACATAAACCAACCCTAAACCAACCCTAAACTAACCCTAAATACACCCTAAATTTACCCTAAACCAATTCTAAACCAACCCTAAACCACCACAACCCAACCACAGGACTACAACCACAGGAGGGGGGGTACTTGTCTGACGAATGACCATTGGGGGGTGGGGGGGCTGGCAACGCGGTATCATATATATATATATACATATACATATATATATATATATATATATTCGCTCAAAAGCTACCTCTCACCAAATCCAGGCCTGATCTCTCATACCTGCTTTAGAGGGCATCGACCACTACTTGGAAGCAACAGAATCATGACTCCAATTCGAACTGGTGACGGCGTTGTGTCGGCATGCTTAGTCACCTGAAAAAAAAGGCGCAGGCACATGCTAGCAGGAAGGCAAGCAACTCTTGTCCTCGCACAGCATGCAATTCACCACGAAACAATTCGCCACGACTAGATTCGTCCTGCAGTGTACCGGATGTTTGGCAGCTCTGTGCGCAAGCAAAGGCAAGTCAAGGAGCGTACCGGGCCTGAATATGCTCCAATAACGTTGTGCACTTGCCCAGCCCCAACGTGCTCCTCCGACTCTCCCTGCTTCCGTGGCGCCCCAGAAGGGCAACTTCATCTCGCCAACGGCCTGATGCGTATGCTCATTTCCCAATCAGGCTTCGCAACACGCTCCAAATATAGTTGATTCAGCCAATTGATACACTTGCCCTTTCCGCCCCTTGTGAAGCAGGCAGACACCTCCTTTCGCAACCAGGCGCCCGGGCGTACTGCACGAAGCGGCCAAAGCTGAAGGAACCCCCGCCGGCCAAGGAGGTCAGCGAGCAGCTCCGCGTGAGGAGCTGCGAGTTGAACTCGGGGATCTTCCTAAATGGTCAGGCAGGGTAAGCTGTGATCTGATGCGATCCTGGTGCCCTCACACCAGGGAACCTATTTCAACCAGCCTCCTGTCATTGGGCATGGCGAATGGGACATCCGATGTTCAATAGCCAATCACATCACCTTCTGCTGATGTCCAGTGTTATGCTCAGTGTGGGTGCGTTGCAGCCAAAACTCTCCATATCTGGACAGTCCCGGGCATCGTATAGGCCCAATAGACTTTAGGACTGCTTACTAAATGGTCGCACTCCGTGACCATCCGTATCTCGCGTCTCAAACAACGTGCTTTGACCTCCAAGGCCCCTGCAAGTTGCAACTTTGGGATGTTTCACTCAACTTGCAGTTCGGCGGCTTCCAAGCCTTTGGCTCCAGGATATAAAACAGGGGCGACACCTGGGCAAACCAATGCCTCCCAAGAAAGCCATAGACTGCAAAAAGCGGACTGGGCTAGCCAAAGAAAGACAAATGGCAGGGCGGGTTGATCCAAATAAAAGTCGCTGTTCCAGCATGCTCCAGCAAATCATCAACATCTTGTGATAATCTATACTTTGTGTGTGGGTGACACACTTTCCTGCCTACCACTTGATACTCTGGCAATCCATAATGTTGCATAAGCTGACATTGTGAGAATTCAGAAGATGGAGTCTGCCTTCGCAATGATGCCACATCCCCCAAGGTGAAGTCCATCTACGTTGCCTCTTCTATGCCAAGCTTAGGCCCAATTGTTCTGCATCACCCTTCGCCACCTCTTTTGGCTGTGGCTTCATGCCCACAAGGCGCGAAAGGGAAGTCGGAGCCCCGCTGGCCCGGCGCCGGCTTCTCCACAAAGGACACCACCTGCTACTGTGGCGTCATGTTTGGGCATGCAAGTGTGAGCCGCTATGAAGTCCTCCATTGCCAGGTTCATTTGATTGGGAGAAGAAACATGGAATGGAAAAGGGACGGGTTGTGCGGGGGTGGCTTCATGCAGCTCATATTTGACCGCAAATAACAATGTGTGTTTCCCTTCTCGCGATTGAAGGCGTTCTGAATTCATAAACCTTGGGGGCACGCGCTCGGCAAAAAAAAACAAAGCTGGTATGACCGGTTCCAACAGCATACCGATTCGATGCCGTTTGTTGCACTGTCTCTGAAGCCAAAGGAAACAACAACAAACACCAATTCCAATCAACAACAAATAACAAGCAATAACCAGGATGTTAAACCAATTGATTTCCACGCCGGCCGTGCAATTTTGTGCTGTTGCCTAAAGCGACACTTCTTGGCCCCATGCAGATCCCAGGCAGGGACTACAAGAACAATACTTGTTCAATTCGTAGAGATCCACCAAAGAGGGAGACAAATCGCCTTCGCATTTCTTGTGTGAATCCCAATTTCGGTGTTTGCAAGGTTCAAAGCTTTATCTACACCCTGCCTTGCTTGTTTGGACGTCCACCTCGCACATCCCACGCTCTGCCGTGTTGTCTGCATCCCGGCGACTTAGCTGCTTAGCAATCATTTGTAACTACTGTTACTATGGTTCATGGAATCCAAAAGCTGGTCCCTTCATTGCAAGCCTTTTGCAGGTATTCTCCCTCAGAACCAGCTGATCTGGCCAAAACCCAAGGGAGGTCGTCTTCAAGAACTCTTTGGCTGCCGTCATGTCGTGAGTCACCAGACGAAAACGCCTCTCAGCTGCAACTCAATCAAAAAGACTAAACCCTAATCTGCCCTGTATAACTTGAGGTCGCAGCCAAACCTTTTATCAAACCAAATGCACATCCAATCCCTTGTCGTTTTGACCCAAATTTATCGTTTCACATTTGCTGCGAGCTCTTTTTCTGTCCCTGCCGCTTTACAGGACAAGCCCAGAATCCCCTGAACCCTGTGCAATGCTGCGCAATTGTCTCCTTGTCGGAAGCTGCTAGGTCCTCCCAACTTGCTGAACCTTTTTCCCCGCTTCTCTTCGTCACGGCCACAAAGCGCAACACAAGTTGTGGTTTCCACAAAAGCGGCATGGTCTCACGACTGACTTTTAGTTTGGAAATACGCGTGATCGTTTTGGCTGTTGCGGAGTTCTTCAGTAGCAGAAGCAGCAGCAGCAGCAGCAGCAGCAGCAGCAGTAGTGGCACTAGGAGTAGTAGTACTAGTAGTACTAATAGGACTAGTAGTACTCGTAGGACCAGTAGTACTAGTAGGACTAGCGCTTTACTAAGCGCGAGGCTCCCGAAAAAGATTGCCGATTGCTGTCATGTCGTAGTATCGCAAAAAGTGTTGCCACTCCCTCACTTTGAGTCTTGATCACCAAAGGATCCAGGATGTCAAATTTGTCTTGCCTGGGTGTAAAAACAACAGGGCACCTGTAAAATGTCGCTAACAGATTAGGATGGCATTGCCAAGCACCTGAAGAGAGTCCTTTCGATGTGGTTGCCTGAGGGCCTGAGGGGCCATGCTCCTGGTTGACGGTCGCAGAAGGCAAGCAAATCTTAAGTAGACAATCAGGACCCATCTTGGGTGTTGCTGATGAACATACATTCATGGCCACACCTATAAAATGCAAGGCCGGGAGCCTTCCTGCCTTTCAGTGACAACTCCGAGCACACCATTTCATTTCAGGACACTTCTCAATCTCCAAACAAGCTTCTTGCTGCCTCAAAACCGAACCCGCAAAGCTACTGCCCACTGGGGCTTGGAACATGTCCACCACTTGGCTTGCAGCTGCGGCTGGAGCACCCGTAGTAAAGCATCAGGGAGCCACCCTTGTAGAAGTGAAAGTCCAATATCCTGCGGCGTGGGCACTCGTTGATCCTACTGTTGTGCAAGCTGAAACTGACCAGGCTGCTAACACGAGGCCTTTGCATTGGATGACCAAGTGCAGCGATCGGCGACCTGTGCTATAATTGTCTTAGCGGCGTTGGTGTGCCCAGCTGTCTCCATCCTGCTGAGTTGTGAAGCCACGGAACGCGGCTGGATCGTTCAGGCTGCTCTGCTTCGTCCATGCAAACAAATGGCAGCAACCTGGCTGAAATGCAAACTAAATGAGAGCGGCGTTGGAGCACGCGAAAACAAAGAGAGGCCCAGCAGCCCAAAAGCCTCCAGTGCGCCGATACCTGGCAACAAAAAGGTCCTTTGCAAGTCGAAGTCCTTGAAGAAGAGAGTGTCACCCGCAAAGACGACAACATCTCTACCTTACACGGCAAGCTAGCCTAGCTTGCCGTGCACAATCGTGAGGCACGGTAAAATGCACGCCTTCACGATTCTTAGGTCTTGCTCTTCAAGAAAGACTTTGTCTGCCTATTAGCCCCGTTGTCAAAAACCAATTCTGCCGAATGACCAGGCCAGGGATTGTAAGCATTCACCAATAACTTGAGCAAGAAGAATCCATTGTGCAATGTCAGCTCTTGATGCCTGCTTTGAGCATGCTGCATTGCACTCCTGAGGTGCCGACTGTCTATCTGCCCAAGGACCCTGAGGCACAAAGCACGGCAGTTGCTCATGCCTTGCGTACCCGCATCTGTGTGGGTCTGGGTGTGTGCGTGTGCGTGTGCGTGTGCGTGTGCGTGTGCGTGTGCGTGTGCGTGTGCGTGTGCGTGTGCGTGTGCGTGTGCGTGTGCGCGCGCGCGCGTGCGTGCGTGCGTGCGCGCGTGCGTGCGTGCCTGCCTGCGTGCCTGCGTGCGTGCGTGCGTGCGTGCGTGCGGCGTGGCGGGTGTGGTGTGTGTGTGTGGTGTGTGTGTGTGGGTGTGGGTGTGGGTGTGGGTGTGGGTGTGGGTGTGGGTGTGGTGTGTGTGGTGTGTGTGTGTGTGTGTGTGTGTGTGTGTGTGTGTGGTGTGTGTGTGTGTGTGTGTGTGTGTGTGTGGGTGTGTGTGTGTGTGTGTGTGTGTGTGTGTGTGTGTGTGTGTGGTGTGTGTGTGTGTGTGTGTGTGTGTGGGTGTGTGTGTGTGTGTGGGTGTGTGGGTGTGTGTGTGTGTGTGGTGTGTGTGTGTGTGTGTGCGTGTGTGTGTGTGTGTGTGCGTGCGTGTGCGTGTGTGTGTGTGTGGGTGTGCGCGCACATGTCTGAACTGAGTCTGAAGTGGAACGTGTGTCACTCATATTCATACTCATTTTGCAAGTGGAAGCTGAGCAAACACATTGTGAAATCAGCGAACCCCTGGAATGCAAGCCGAGCGTCTGTTGAGCACGACGCAAACCCAACTCGACGTCTCTAAGTACCTGCTCGCAAATATGATGTGCTTGCAGCTTTGAGATTGAGCAACAGGCTTTAGCTCGGGACTAACCTCATCGACCATATCAGACTTGCCGTTTCTTGGGCGAACCAGCGATCTTCATGCTGAGCCCTGCGCAATAACAAATAAACAGCACACACACACACACAGAACAACTCCACCACCCAA